TATTGATATCCGGTCATTTTCTTTACACTAAAGAGTGAACACTGAAAAAAAATCAAATTTTTGGATAACTATTTTATCCCTATAACTGTTAATATATTCCAACAATACCCTTGGTACAAGTGGAAAATCATACGAATACTCTCACTCATATCCTCTATAAGGTCATTCTTTCTAATAAAATTAAAAAAATGGAAAAATTTATAATTGGTGTTGTGCATTGAGGGGAATTGCCAAAATCAGGGGGGCTAGTACACACATGCATGTGTGTAGGATTTACACACAAGAGATGAACTCTACTTAAAACCAAAAGCCTAGGCTATTGGGGCACCATTCCCATGCATGGGTGCTTTTGCCAACTACTTGACCATGGGAAAGACAATGAAGCCATGGAAGTTAATTGTGTGCATTGTCAACACTTGCACCTAGCCAAACCTTTGGCTCTGATACCACTGTTGTGTATTAAGGGGAGGTATCATGCCAAAAACGAGGGGCCGATATATATGCACACATGTAGGACTTATGCACAAGAGAATGACACCAATCACAACCCAAAAGCATAAACCATTTGGTTATGAGCCATTTTTGTATATAAATACCTTGCACCTCTCATTTCTTTCCAATGCGGGACTCTGTTTATACTTACTCATACATGAATCACAACGGTTAAATGTTGCCCATGTATAGTTTCTTTGCATTGTAGCCTCCATGAAACCTTCCAATTGGATAGTATTAGCCTTCAGAGGACAAACTCTCAGTTATGTTGTGCACCAAATGTAAATCTGTATATCAGATGATGGGTCCTACTCCATGGTTACTAGACTGACAATGAAGTAACTTGTCCTCCATATATGGAGAATTCAGGTTGTCCTCCTCAATCTCAAACCATTAGACCAAGACTTCTTATCTTTGTATTTGTAGCATGAAAGAGCTTCTATTATATTGCTTAGGTTATAGCCTTTTCTTATGACTCAACGCTTGTGTTTGGACATAGATTGAAAATGAACAAATACCATTTAGACAACTTTATAGTTCTGGTTCCACTTTACAATAGTCGACTTCAATAAATATGCGAGAGTCACCATTTAAAATCTAATTCCAGTTTGGGCCAGAATTAGGGGTTCAAATGGATCGGATCTCTGAATTCGAATCCAATCCTATTTAGTTGGATTCGAATATTCCTGTCGGATTTTTGGATTGGATTAATTCCGATAATAGAGTGATGATCCCCTAACTCCACATTCACTTCTCTCTCGTGAGTCGTGACTACTAGAGTGATGTGGCGTTTTCTCATGTTGATGCTTCTGGTGAAGTATCAAGTGCCTTCCATGTCAAGGCTAACAGGGTCTAACCCATCGGTATTCTTCTTCAAAGACTCTTCTTCTATAACCACCGATAATTAGCTCGAATCTTGTATTGTCACTTATCTGGCAGCTGTTCTACAAGCCCAATAGATTCCTAGATTTTGATTAAATTAATAAAAACTTAATGCTGCGTTTGAAAATGATGCAAATAAGTGTGAGTGCAAATATGTAGAATTTAAAATGGTTCATATAAATTGTAAAGTTAGATTAATTTTGCACTGACAATTTTACTTTCTTATCAAATAGAATTTGAGTTGTAATGAATGAAAATACGAATTCTGTCATTTGTCAATGCATAAATGTAATGTTGCCAAACACAAGCAAAAGTGAACCAAAGTACCCTAAACTGGGATTTACACTCTATTTACATTGTTTCCAAACGCAGCCTAAATCACAGAGCTGAACATATAGAGGTGTCACTTAGGAGTATGCAACATTAGGGAGTAGATGTGGATTGATCCCATCTATGATGCCCAATTCCAACAAGTGATGAGAGAGAGGAAGAGTGGTACTTGGAAGGGTAAGAAGGGGGATAGTGAGATGGTTAGTTAGAAACAAGTGAAGGCCTTAGAGAGTTAAGATTGAGAGAGTTGAACCCTCAAATCTAAGCGGCGCTTGTAATTACCATCTCTACAATTGTGGAGGCCACTGGGCCCACCCATCTGAAAATGCCTTGTTAAAGGCCACAATGTTGGTTGTATTTCATTTTCTCGAATTTCAGGTTAACAAAGTATACACAAAGACAAAGGAAGAAGCAAGAGCTAGGGGAGAGAGAGAGAGACTAATATACAAACTGCCAACATGAGTTTAAAAAACTAAGGGTATATTCGAGTGTATTTGAAAAAATTAGGGTACATATATAAGTCAATTTATGAAAACTCAGCATGTTTAAGTCTTTTACCCTTTAAGCATTGTTTGTTTTTTGGAAATTGGGGGTAGGTTGGTGGATCCCATGGAAAAAAATAAATCCACGTTCTTATTTTGGTATTAGTGGGTCTCACAAAAAAGAATAAACCCATGTTCATATTTTGGTATTAGTGGATCATATGATTTACTTCGATAAATCACTCATCTATGTAGAAATTTGATAATATGGGACAATATTGTCCCTTCAATAATGCCATTTTTTTAGATAAATCGGTCATTGTGCAACTTTACTTGGGGAATAATAGAACATTGGTAAGTGAGTGTACTTATTCAAGCAAGTGTATATGAGAAAACACTTGCCTAAATAAGTATGTGTTTGGTTCTATTTACATTTTTTCATTCAACATTTGTATTTCATTTGTTTGTAAAACCGAGAAATATAATAATTACAACTATTTATGACAATTAGGCGCCACTAGCACCACATCAACGTAATAGTGAAAAACACCTAACAGTTTGAGGAAACTTTAAAAAATAATTTCATCAAACGGTAGGTGTGCACAGAAGCTGAAGTCACTTTTTGCTATTCTCGATGCATATAAAAAAGCATGAGAGAGAAACTACTGAAGTGGCACCTATGTGACAGTGTTTATTAAATAAATGCCCACGGAACCAAATACGTTTTAAGTGATTTACCTAGGTAAATGACTTACCAAGACACAAATAAGACCTTAGTATATATAGACATAGATTTGGGGTTTAATGAGACGAGGGAAGATGTTACAAGCACTAACCATCAATTGTATGTATGAGAGAGAGATCTTATTTGCAAGGGTAAGACAACCCTTCTATTGCCTGAAATTTTTACAACTTTATGGTGAGACAACCCTTCACCTCTCCCTCTTTCCTCTTTCTATTGCCTGAAATTTTTACAACTTTTGTTTCATTACTTAATAAACAAGAACCCTATGTTCATTAATTTTTAGAACCTTTTCCATTTTACTTTTTATTGGAATATAATGAAAACTTGAAAAAGATATTTTCCCACTAAACCATGCTACTACAAAACCATGAAAGAGAGAATTGGGCGATGTTTGGTTTTATGGAAAATGAGAAACAGAAACTTGTGGGAAATCAAACCAAACACAACTTTCTATGATAAAATCTTTGATCAATTAATTATCAAGGTCACACGGAGAAATCATCCATCAATCAGAAGAAAACGATTTAAATTCTAATAAAACCCGAATTCCTATTTTTGTTTTAAGAACAACTAATAAATCACTCGATCCTTGAGTGTTCAGATTGAGATATACTATTCTTTTGAGGGAATAGAAACGGAAGGAGTCACTCTATCATTTAATATAAGTTCAAGGCAGTTGAGTGATGTGTGTCATAACCCTCAAAGTACATGAGGATGAACTTGTTTAATAAAGAGAGAGGGAGAAGGAATTAAATAAAGAAAATAATTGTGGGGAGAGAAAGTGCAATGGGCACATGCGGGACAAGCAGCAAGCAATATATCCAGGTAAGTCTATGCAGCTGGTCCTGGTTGTAGACTCCATCTACGACGTTTGTTTCTCATTCTCCCCCACCCTGGACAGGGATGGGACACCCCTACGTCAAGACAAAAAGAAGATGTCAATATCTATCTATATCCCTTTTTCCTTGGCCCTTGCCTCTCTCTCTCTCTCTCTCTCTCTAAACAGTTTAACTCCGCTCCGTCCACCTCCAAGCTCCACCCTTGACATGACCCTTCACCTGCCAATGCCACACCTTAAAACACTGATAACACCCACCACTCCCATGATCCATCCATCCTCGTCTAAAACAAACCAACGAGTCCGAGTTATGTGCAAAACCCTCGTCTGTAGCGGGTGGGACCCCAAATGCCCCCATTAGCCACTAAGACCTGGAGAAATGGATCCTTGTTTTTATTCTTTATAAATCCACACAGCCACTAAGACCTGGAGAAATGGATCCTTGTTTTTATTCTTTATAAATCCACACAGCCACTAAGACCTGGAGAAATGGAGATTAGAGCATAGGACACTAGTCTGAGTCGTCTGACATTAGATCTCACCTCACGCTCTCACTTATGCAATGTGGGTCGGATCATATTCTGTTTACTTGCCTATCCGAATAATTAAAAACAAGAAAGTTCTAATTCTATTAGATTCGAATTCGGACAGACGACACAACTCATCAAATAAGAAACATCCCAGTCGGCCAGTCCGGCAGTCCCAGACCCCACCCCCTGGTGTGGTGGGTACTGCCCTACTGGGTTCCTTTGGCCCCCCCTCAGGAGGGGAGTTGTATCGGCTATCGCTTGCCTTCGGTTTCAATCGCGTAATGATAAATGCCTACTGCCTGCCTAAGTATTTATCTGTCACATTTCCTCCTTCCCACAGGCCACATGGCTACATTTGCAATCAAACAAAATTTTGGGAGGCCGGTGATTCATTGGACCCACAAAAATATCATACTGCTACAATGAATTTAATGTGTTTCCAATCCAACGCCGACCTTTTAAATTTTAATTATTATTTTTGCTGCTACTACTATTAATGTTATTATTATTATCAATAATAATATTTTTGCTGCTACTACTACTAATGTTATTATTATTATCAATAAATTCATCCACTCAGCACTGAGAGATGAAAACAAGACGACAGATCGTACAGTGTATTTTATAGAGTAAACCAAAAACAAAGGCAATACCAATTGAGTAATGATCCATATATGTTACATAAAATAAACATCAACTCATGAGCTCCACTCCAGGAGAAAATGGAATTTCATATATATGTTTTGAATGAAAGATACAAATGGCAACGGCGGATTGTGAAGAGAATGGAATTTATAATTTGCTTCGCCTACTTTCAAGGCAAATTGGGGGGCCTTGAAACCCCACAATCTCATAAGTTGTGGAAGCAAATCCGTTGATGAACAAGCTATCTTTTGACCAAAAGAGAAAACCAGAAAAATTACAGTGATTAATGGAATCCCTAAGAAAGAAAAGGGAAACTATACAGAATCTCCTAGCCTCTTCATCAAGTTCAAACCCTGATGTAGATCTACCTGGAAGAGACGGGATTTAGACTTCTAGCAAATCCGTTCATGGCACCGTAGCTCTTGGAACTAAACCCTAGGCATCCCAATAGTCCTTGCCTGTAAGGCAAGAAAGTTTTCTTCTTCATCTCTTCCGCCTGAGCTCTGTTTGCAGTATAATGCAGCTCGTGGGGTGAGGGCGGAATCCGGCGCTTCCCGACCCCGTTGGCGGGTTTTGCCGCAGTAGTTTTCTTGGCGGGAACTTGTTGCCGCTTCGGCTTATGAGTATCTGCCGTTGTGGGTGCCGCTGAAGGTTTCTTCTCCTTGGAGGAAGAGAATGGGAGAGACGTTGATGAAGGCTTCTTCTCTTTAGCAGGAGAGAAGGAGATGGAGGACCAGAACTTATCTTTACTGTTCCCTCTCCCTTCGCTTTTACTTCTGTACAGAAAGTCTTTCAGAAAGACCCACCTCTTGGAACTCCTTCCAGAAGAAGATCTAGAAGAAGATGCAGAAACCGAAGGCGTGGTTCCCGTCGAAGGAGTTTCCGTCTGTTTACTCTCAGGATCGTCCAGGTCTAGATGACGCTCATTAGCCTCTCGCTCTTGGTGATATTCTTCCTCTTCATGCCACTGAAACTGTGTATTTCTGAGCGGAGACAGAGATCTAGCCCGCCGGTGCAGTGATCTATTGCGTAGCCTGAGATCTCTCCCTCTCATCAATGACTCGTCGCGTTTCTCGAACTCTAACTCTGTGGAGCCCTTAGCTTCCTCGTCCTCGTCTTCGACTTCAAGATCCAACAATGGAGATAAGATCTGAGGCCTCTGTAGGTGATTGGACAGCTTCATCGGTCGGATCTGACCGTTCAAGAACAGCTCATCAGCTGAAATCATAGATCCAGACGCGGTAGAAGCGTTGGAAGGAAACCTTGCCGAGAATTCGAACTCAAAAGAACCAGAAACAGAGAGGTCAGACGAAGAAGAGATGAAAGCAGAAGCAGAGGAAGAAGCAGGAGCAGAGGATAGAACGAAGTGCATTGGACTGGCAGGAGCACTGAAGAAGTAGCCATTGGGACCGCGTCCAGGACTGGAGGGAGCGCTAACGTAAGGAGTGGAGCAAGTGCTGTCAATCTCACCGGTGAGACGATGCGTCTGGTCTGTATCGAAGGCGTCGCCATTGCTAGGTCTCCGAAGGTCTGGCTCTGGACTTAGGTCTTGCTCGCCATTGTTAGCATCGTCGAGCTCCATTTCTTCTTCGGTGAGAGCAGCAGGACACTGGAGTTGTCTACTTGTTCGACACGCAATAATAATACTGCAGAGAACTCAACAAACACACACTGAGCGATGTATAGAGAAGAGTAGTAAATAACTGGAGACTAATAAATCAGGAGGCAGTTATTTTAATCGCCCTCGTATATGTGTTTATATATCGTCAATGCCCCTCCCCCCATCTCCCCTCTTCCGCTTTCGCTTCCAATTTTCTACTACCATTGCTACCCTTGTTTTATTTCTTCCTTAACAAAATGAAGGGTATATTCTCCAAATTTTTCATGCATGGACAGTAATACCCTTCACCTGTCTTTAACCGCTTGGCTTTCGCGCCGGACTTACCGAACCTGTCCCCGTCCACTTTAGCTTTTTTCAGTTTTGCCGTGTGAGTGCAATTTCAATTTGTGCATGACCCTTAATGTATTGGACACGTGGCAAATTAGATCTCAAACGGCAAAAAAACGCGTCTGAAGTCAGAACTGATGTATAGAAAGGATAGAAAGGGCAACGTCGAGGGAAGAGTAGGGATCGGGATGGGAAAGAGAAAATTGGAACGGAGGATAGAGATTTATCAGATCAGAGGAGAGCGGCACACGTTCGGCACTGTCCCAACAAGCCATTGCAGCCGTACAGTGTGAACATCGTATGTTCAAAATGTTCGGCTGATTGGAAGATGTTGGGAGCGTTACATTGGTAGCAGATCTGAAGTCTGGTGGAGGATGCACCCGGCACGTGTGTATGATGTCACACACACTCTCTCACTCATGAGTCAATGAATCAAGGGCTCAAGGGCTCAAGGGAGAGACGTGGAGGCACGTGCTATCCCACCGGTTCCCGATACGCTGCCCCACCTCCCCCTTCTCTCTTTTTAGCGCCCAGTATGATGCTGACTTTTAAAGCTCACAATACGAGGCGGGCAGCAGAGGCACTTTACCTCCTTTTAACATTGATTAGATTAACAATTTAACACCCTTACCCCCCCCCCTTAATCTCTTAATTATTGTTTATTATTTATAATTAACCTTTACACTAAGGTACCTTTTTGTACTCAAGGACAATTAAAAAAGGAGGTTTAGTATTAATTATATAAGCTTAGAAATAGCCCCCGATTAATGTAAATAATAAATATTTCTCAGACGACAAACCTTTATCTGGGGTTCTACGACACGACGACGAGGGGAGGTATTGGCCGGCAACGGCGAGTGCGGAAGGATTCAGCGCCGCTGGTGAAACCGACGTTTGCTCGATCCCAACGGCCCAGCCATCAGGTGGGCCTCTGCATCTGGGCTGGATTTTTCTTTGTTTTTTTTTTTCTTTTTTTGTTTTTGAATAATAAAGAAGATTGATACAGTATTCCAGCCTATCAACCCATCAACAAAAGCTTTTCGATCAGAATCTTTTGTATCAATTCACGTGAATGTAATGTGATGATAATGTACAATCACGGAGCATGTGTAACTCGTTTACTCAAACAAAAAACGTTAGGCTCAGTTTGGAATGAGTAACAAATAAAGCGTTACGCTCAAAAAAAAATTTAAGGGGGTGTTTGGTTTGAAGGAAAAAATAGGGAACGGTAAAAGTTTTCCTACCTTTTCCTTCAAATCAAATATAGTCTTAAGCCTGTACTCTAATTTACCTCCCCCGCAAAGCTAAATCAAAATCCTTAAAAATTCACAGAAATTTGATCAACAAACTTTTGAGAAGATAAAAAGAAAGTGAGATGTAGAGGACGAGAGGGGAGAAAGTATGGAGATAAACTCCCAAGTATGTTCATGCTATCTATTCTTAAACGATGCAGAGCCTCATGAATCATGATGAGACTAAAGAAGATCTTATATTTTGAAGTGCATTGATAAGGTACCAGCAGCAATTTAAGTAGTTTAGGGTAACATTTGGTCCAAACCGATTCGGTTCAATATATCGATTACAGATGGATTAGGTCCAATCTAATCTGATGAATATTTTGAATAAGTCCAATTCAATGTCTGGACGGTCTAATCTGTTCAAATTAATTTTAATTTAAATTGGTTCCAATCCAAATTTGATTAATTGACACCTGCATTCTATCTTTTATCAATTAATCAGATATTGGTTTAATCAACCCAATCCAATACAAATTTATTATGGTTGTATCAGATCCAATCTAATCCAATAAATGCTATGCTCCATTAAGTCTGGATTGGTCGAATTTAATATATCTTATTGATCTCTCCAATCTGTCCAAATTGAATTTAATTTGAACAGATTCAACCCAAAACCAATCCATTGCACCCCTACTAAAAATGCATATTTGTTTAAACGCCCACTCGAAGGTTAATCCCTCTTTCTCGTTAACATATCATCTTGGTTTACCTTTTTGATAACGTTTGTCTCAAACAGATCATAAAACATAGAATCATAGAGCAATTGCAACCAAATAGATTATAAAATACAGATCAAGAAAGAAAAAAAAAAAATCCTTTGTATCTCTGAAATGGTTTGTGAGGTGAGGCTTGGCTGAATTTAAAGCATGATCTTCCATATCTTTCAAAACCATTTGCAGCTGTTCTTGATATGCTGCAAAACACCTCCTTTCACCTCTAAGGCTCAGTTTGGAAGGGGTGCAAATACAAATATGTAGAGTTCAAATACATACAAAATAATACAAAATACAAGGTTTTGCACTCTACTTATTTGTATTTGTACTCTTTCCAAATAGAGCCTCAGTTCAGCTGAGAGCTCCTTGATGGTTTGTCTATATCATATTTTGCATCATTATCCCAGCAACAAATGTCTTAGGGCCCATTTGTTTTTATGGATTTTGACAGAGGAAAATTGGTCAATGAGATTTTGATTCTCATTGATAAATACACCCATATTCTTTTTTTTAAATTTATGTAGGATTTACGGAAATTTTATTTTCTTTAGGTATCTTCTCACAAGTAAATAAGTAATGGTTTTTTATAACTAAAACAGTCATTGTCTTATTTATTTGAGAAATAAAAGTAACATTGATAAATGCAATTATCCGAATAGGTATTTTATGCATTTACCCAAATAAATAACTTTCCTAAAAGCAAATGGAGCCTTAATAGAAAAAAAAAAGAAGAAGGTTGAAGGTTTAACACCTTTGATAATGTAATTACATAGATAGGATAAAAAAACTGTCTCAAACAGTCAAAGGGAAACTTTGGATTTTAAAAAGTCACAACAGCTAGTATATCCACATGAAGAATGAATGTGAGGGGTTATAATGGTAGGGGTAGAGTTGGTCAAATTGTCAGATAACTTAGGGGTAATTTAAGGGATTTGACAAATAGTAAGGGTAATTTGGGTCCATTTCTTAAAACATAGGAATAGTTTAAGACATTTCCCGAAAAAGTTATGACAAACGTCCCACTGCACAGTCATGTATTGGGAACATCTCCCAATAATGTCTCGTCTTTTCTTGTATCCCTTCCTCACTAGCTCAATCATAAGGGACCAGGTTAGTCAACACAAAATGTTGGGTTAGAGGTTGGGTTTGGGTGTAAGCCCGAATTATTTATTTATTTATTTTGAGTTGGCATAAGGATCAGGCTTTAGTCACCCGATTCGACCCAAATTAGGCCTATCTTTACACTTGATTTTTTTTTCTTTTTGTTGATGCTCGGGTTGGCTGAGGACAACAAAGTAATTTTTTCCCTAGAGCTCGAAGGGTAGGCCGAAGGCTTCGAAAGACTTGAGGACGAGGTACCGAGGCCGAAGGCTGGGGGCTAAGGCCGAAGTGTATCGAATCCCACAAAAGTTGAGGACTAATAATTGGAGTGTTGCAAGACAGAGGACATCAAAGGCCTCGGGTTAGGACCCGAGGCAAAGGCTTCGACAGTCAAGTCAGTACGGGGGTGTGAAGAGGGGAATCCAGTACAGACGAAGTCTCCAAGGAGGCTATGCGTAGGTACTGGACTCCCAAAGTGAGGATACTCAAGTTCTGTTGTAGGGTCAAATTTCAGAATCAGAATCAGGTCCCTCTTACCTAGAGGGGGGCTACCCCCTATATATACTTGAGCCGCCTAGAGGTTGGTGGAGATGAATGCCTGAGATGGGAGCCATACAAGGGCAGTCAGAGAGCTCTGCGAGGACGCGTGGGCGCTCCACGATTGGCTTCGTACGAGGGGTGCAGGGTAGCTCCTTCTGTGGCTAATCGCGTTTCTGGTTTTGGCGTTCGTGGGCTGGGCTGGGCCACCCTACATCACTTTTCATAAAACTTTACATTTGATATCGAAAAATAGCAATCAATCATGTTAAAATCCAAAATAGTTATCAATCAACATAAAAAATATCAATAACGGGACCATAGTCATCCCAAACCCCAACTTTGAAACAAATCACCATCTCTGACCCCAGTCCCCATTGGGGCTAAGTGATCCTACATCCCCAATCCCTTGGGGTGTCCACAATTCGGTTAACCGAACCATGGCCCTTTTTGTAAATCGAACCAGTGGTACCGGTTTTTCCATTTTGCCAAATCGAAACCAAACCGGTACCACCAGTTAACTGGCCCGCCGATTTCGGTTTTTGACTGATTCGGTTCTGCGGTTCTTCGGTTTTTTATATTTAAATATATATTATATAAATATATGTATAATATTATATTATAAATAATAAATGATATATAATATATATAATATATTTATAAATAGATCATTATAAATATAATATAAGTATATATATATATAATGAATATATAAATATATATAATACATAGAAAATATGTGACATATATTAAAAATATATAATATACATATAAATATCTATCTATCTATCTGTATATATATATATATAGAGAGAGAGAGAGAGAGAGATACACCAGTTGGTTTGATTAACCGTTGTTTTTTTTTTATAGGTTAACCGAAAACCGAACTAGTCCTTTGGTTTTTCAAAAATTCCGAACTGAAACAGAACCGGTCGGTTTGGTTAACCACATTTTGCGGTTCGGTTTTCTCGGTTTGGTTCAGTTTTTTGGTTTTTCGATTTTTCATGGACACCCCTACCAATCCCTGGTAGAGATTGGTTCCTCATCAAGGACCTGAAGCCCCAAAATTTTTTAATTAAATGTTTGTTTGGAAAATAGATTTACTTAAACTAAAGGAAAAATAAACAATATTTTAAATATATTTTATTATATACTTTATAATATAGTAAAATATAAAACAATAATAAAATTACTTTAAAAGGGTTTGAAAAGTCTTTATTAATATATAATCAGGGTGGGGTGGGTGAGGAATTTACTCCCATCCCCATCCCCGCCAAGCCAATCTCGATCCAACCCAATAGGGTCAGGGAAGCTAGGTACCCCACTAGGATGGGAAAGTTGTCACCCCTAGTGTTGCTCATTCATTATAGAAAATTAGACCAGTTTATCTACAATCAAATTATAAGAGCGTTGGTAGTATTGAACCGAAGAGGTCTGCAATTTGCAATTGGGTCATATATAGGGATGATCATGGGTCGGGCCGGCCTGGGCTTTGCGCTTATGATAAGGGCTATAGCTTTGGCCTGGGGCTGGCCCGGCTTAGGGTTTCGGGCTTGAAACATAAGCCCTAGCCCATGTCTACATGGGCCCGGGCCAAGTCGGGTCTGATTCTAGGCCAATGTCTTTCATATATAAAATATTACATATCTATAATATTTTATATTAAATGACATAACATACATATAAAGTTCTTTTATACATTATATAATATAAATTATACATGTCATGTTATAATATTTATATATAAAATATATAATATAATGTAAAATAACACATATACATTATACACAAAATGTGTAAGTTTAAATATATGCGGTTCGGCCCTAAAATTTGTGGGCCTAATGTGGCCCCGGGCCGGACTGAAATGATCACCCCTAGTGATATATATATATATATATATATATATATATATATATATATATAATAGATTACCTTAGCTGTTGATGTTTATTATTCGAGTTATCAAAAGTAAAATCATTCATATTGACAAACACACCCTTGGTTTGTAGCTCAGAAGGAGCCCCCTTATTTTCCTACACCCTTGAAAAAGTTTCATCCTCAAGACTTCGCCACATATTCAAGATACACCCTCTTCCATGGACAATTTCCATATTAGTTAAAGAAGTAAAATCATAAACAACCATTCTCATCGAGCAAAGCTCCAGCCTCCAAATGCAAACTTCATGTAGTGTGTCAGCCTGGTGGACCTATGTATTTGATTTCAGGTTGATAATTTTAATAATTTACCTACTATCTCCAACATTACAGAGTGACAGAATGATAAAAACAAGAATTATTTCTTGATACAAAAAATAAAACAAGTATGAGGATATGATGTTATATTAATCTTTGCTTGGAGTTGAAGACAGTGATCTCGTCCAACTCCCCACCCTGCAAGAAGAAACTGAAATTCAAATCATGTCTCAAGATGAAGGATCTATCATTTTTCCGAAGACTCTGCTCTGATCTCATCTCCATGTAGGCGATTTATACAAGTGGAATTATAGATTTTGCATGGTTTGCTTAGATCTGTGCATCTGATGAGTTATGACCCTTGCACAACCGAGTAGTGAGTACACAGCTCATGAAAACATTCCTATAAAATGCAATGCTAAAGAGTAAAGATCAAGCAGTTGCAGATGACACATTGATGGCACAAGTATCGACATGCAACGAAAATAAAATTTTGGAGTTGATCAAATGCAGTTTCATGCGTCAAAACTCACCAATTTGCTAGTTGAATCAAATATAACTTTTACTCTTTCAAGGAATATTCAGAGACAGAGTGTCCAGCTTTTAATTAATTTTTGTTTTTTTGTTTTTTTAATTTTGGTAGTCCAAAGAGCGGGACTAAGTATTCATATGTTTATGCAAACGCTGGCTTGAATCTTGAATCGAGTATAATTAATCCAGCTTTTAATTCAATTATTTAAGGGGGGGTGTTCACCAATATGTTCAAAATTATACACCTCGGTGAACACTCTCTGGAAGTTTACTGGATTTGTATGAAACTCCAGGCTCACCTAGAGAGATGTTCTCATCACGCTCATGTATCACAAAGAATAAGCTCGACAAAAAAAAATCTTTGTTTCCATGAATTAAATAGGTGATACAATACAAGAACCTCAACTGAAAGAGATACGGAAGATCAGCTTACAGAGGTAAAAGAACCTTCTTAAATGCTTAAACCGAGATGATATCAGCAAATACTTCATCAACCAACGAACTTAATAGCTCCTGTTCAATTTCTACACCCAATTCAAATGCCTCAATTTCAAAATCGAGCCATCTTCCATACTGGCTGCTCATGTCTTTGTCTACGAGCTCATCAACCATCGAATCCCCCATGCTTCTCCACCCTGAAATCTCCTTGTACACTTCTTCAGCCAACCATTTCTTCCTTCGGACCATGGATAAACCCTTGGCCCATGTTTCGCAGCCCCCACTAGCACATCGCCTGCATCTCAAATCCATGCATTCACTCACACAATCAAACACCATTTTCCACCTTAATCTGGAATCCTTCCAATCCTGTTGATTTCTTAACCCAGTTTTCCGATTCTCCAACTGGTCAAAGAGACGAGGATTTATGATTTCATGAGCCCGACCTATTGTGAAGTCTTTGAACATCAATTCTACATTGCATAGTATCTCTCTCACATATTCCAGTTCCCACTTGGTTGATCTTGTGTCATCTGCCACATCGAATTTGGTTGCATGTTTTCTACCTAATGTCTCAGTAGACATGGAAGATGCGGAATCAGACAATTCTGTCTCAGCTTCCCCTGAATGAAACTTCCTTGAACAACTTGAACCCACTTCCTGAGCTTGAATAGACAAACCCCACTTGTTACCTAGAAAAATAACAAAACAATACATGATTAGGTAATCTTTGAAGACAAGCATCAATTTGCATGAAGAGACCTAAATAAAAAACAACAGGCAGCATCAATTTAGGAAGTGCATATTTACATGTGAGCATGCTGAATGCCATCAAACCGGAAGATAGAAATTCATGCCAATACAATGGGAATGAGTGTTGTTTGAATTCAAATATGACAGTCAATAGCACTCCCACATTTAACAATGCACTAGGTCTAATCATTTTCCAAGATGGGTTTATGCTTTACCATTGGTACTGTAACTGTCCCCACTATCTGAAGAATTGCAACTTTCATTTGAGAAAGAAGGGTCAAGAACAGAAACTGGACTAGGATGCCGATGGTTCAGTTCCTTCCTTACTTCTCTGTTGCTGCTGCTACAATCATCCATTCCTCCTCTTCCCTGAAAAAGTTTATAGAAAATTACCATCAAATAAGAATTTTAGTGTGAAACCATACATAAGAAACAAAATCAAAATATTCTACATTTCTACATAAAAATATGATGCACAAAAACCATAGACAATCCCACCAATAAACTACCACAACTTCCCAATTATCAAGTTTCAAAAATGTGTTCAACTCAATTATCTGTATTCAAAACCATTGCAGAGATCTGGGATAGAATGTTCAGACTGCTTTGCTTAATTTCATAGACATCAATAGAGTAATAGTTGGGAACTAAGTCAAGCATAGTTGAGAACTTCATAGCCATCTTGTGAGCTCATGATAGAGGGAATTGGAATCTTCAAATATGGGAAAATTTTCAACTGAAAAAAAAAATGTTAAGCCCTAAAACATGCCCTTCTTTATAGGCTCTTTTAATTTTTTTTTTTTAATTAAAAACTGGACAACTATTGTTGAGAGAACTCCAATACAAGATTAGGAATAGGGCTTATGTATATAGAGACAACAAATCACTGATCCAGAGGGTCTCCATCTGATGAATTGGTTGGCCTACAACATCATGTGGCAAAAACATGTGTAGTCATCTAGGAAACCTTTTGTTTTCTTCTTTCTATTCTTCTCTATTAACTTTATTCTCTTCTGGACTTGATTTGCATCATTTTCTATTCTTTACGCTACTGCTAGAAATATGTTTTATATATTTTCTAAATCCACTCACATTTATCTTATCTTGCATTTTCTTTCCATCTTATCTTTCAGTCTTCAAAACACTTCTAGAAACCATATCAATTTCTTACCTTTGCCACAGTGCAACCTTCTATAATAGCACCTAAACCCTTTGACCAGCCTATTTTAGCATCTCTTTCTCACTTTCCCAAAGTGATATCTGACAAAAGGCATTAACTGTTCAGAGTTTAGACCAAGGTTCAAAGAATATGATACTCTCCCTTTTTTTTTTAATTTGTATATGATGTTTCAGAGTTAGGTATCCCTTCCATAAATAGGGATCACTTCCCTTCATCACTTTAATAGCCCAACTTAGTACTCTTGGATTGTATGCACCATGGAGGGCAAAACATTTCCAATAGGATACATGACCCAGAAACATGCAATTTCATTGCATTTGTGTTCATTAACAAACAGATAGCCTGCAAAATTGGAAAAAGGAGAATAAAAATAACTCAGAAATGAAATGCTTAAGCGACAAAAACTAAGGCAAATGCTTTATTGTAATTTTATCATTATCGTTGCATCTTACTAATATATGTTGACATATCCTATCACGTATATGTTTTATTTTAGGGTTTTACTATTATAAGACTCAAGGATTTCAAGGAGAGAGAAAGAAAGGCAACTAAGAAGAGCCCCTTCATTTTCTTTTTGTTCTTTTCTTAATTTTCCCGTTAAACAAATCAAGGGCTTAACCCCTTCGAATTTTTTTTCTTTATCATAATCATCAAAATTGCCATGTATAGAACTAAGAAATAAACCTAGAATTTAGGTTTTCTCTATCAAACTCCTTCCACTAGGCAAGAAGGTGCTCCACTATTCCATAGATAGCCTACACACATTGACAACTATAGATTGGAGGCCTTTGATGCATCTGGCTGATTGAGGGAAGCATGTCTATGATAAACAACTGTTATCGAAAGACATGGATTTGCAGTTACAGAACCATTTTGATTTTAAAAAAGTTAAAACGCACTATGTCATTTCATTTGGAGCAGTTAAGGTTGGATTGGAGTGAATTATGGAATGAAGGCAGCAAGGTGTACAACTTGGCAAGCAAGGTGTTGCTGCAATATAAGATTATTATTTTTAATGAAGCTAGAAAATCAAGAAAACAAACTGAAGTTGCTTCATTCTATTATATTTAGTGAAAATACCAAAAGAAAGTAATGTGCTGCTTTTACTTTGCCACCTAGGGTTAAAATCCTAAAACAGACCTAAAATCTTTTTCCTTCAGTGTATAGAAGCACCATACTTCTCATCATTTTGGGAGATCAGACTACCAAAGGCCATGATTCTTTCTTAATTTTTCCTAAATAAGAAGTAAACTAAGTAACCAGTAATAGCGGCTCCCCTGTTTGTATAAGAGAGATGTGTTTAAGTTTCCATACAAAATAAAGCATCAGGTCATGTTCTGGTTCCCCCTTTCCCTTGCCCACTAATCATCTTTAAAACTATGTCCAAGAAATTTTATCATAAAAAAAATGAATAAAGAATTGTTTAATACTTCAGACATCCCTGGACTATTATGATTATTCAATACAACATTCAACAATGTATTTAAGCTAATAAATTATTAAGAGTTCAAAACTAAAAAGTTGAGAACCTATTTTAGATATATTAGCTCCAATTTTTGCAACTTTCTCCACTCTACTATCAGTGTATTTGGACAGCAGGGTCTCAATCATAAATCTCAATCCTTCTCTTTAGTTTAAGTTTTCTATCAATTTAGTATTGGTTTTATTGGTCAAAATGCAGCAGGCTGTAAGGATGAACCAATTATCTCAACTATTACCATTTTCAAATCAGAAGAAAAAGCCTCCCTCCCTCCCTCCCTGCATTCTTAGCATTTAAACAGAGTGTCATCATACCTTGAAGTTACGGTCCATCTTAAACATCTGAGCATCAGTCGATGAGCAGGTGGTGTTGTACATGCTACCAAAATTATCTGTGTTGACCCCAACTTGGGACCCTTTGCCGATTTCTCTTGGTGTGGTGCTTACTGCATTTAGAGCCGACACTAAATCTTGTAGAATTGATGCAGAACTTGCAACAATTCCTGCTTTGACTGAGTTCCGACAGGAAGACTCTACTCCATATGTTAATTCCCTCAACTTCTGTTCCAAAAGAATACTCAAGGCATCACCTCCTATTACATTCAACCCAAGGGAGGATAATTTGGAACTTTTCGCTTCAGCACAGGACTTTTCACCACGAGTATCTAGACTAGAGTTGCTGCTTTTTTCTACCACCTGACCAGAGGACTGTGATCCAGGAACAGATTTGATCATAGGAGAGGTAAATGTAAAGGAAACAACATCCATCCCCTTCCTTGTGTTATCTTCCGTCCACTTTGAGTGCACTGCTATGTTGGACTGGACATGCTTCTCATCTTTATCAACCAAAATATTACTAACAACCCCATTCTTTTCAAAGTGGAAATCCCCATCAATAGAACGTTTTTTCCGAGGGAAACTATTTGTTCTAGATGATGAAACCTCCTTCTCAATGTCTGTAACCTCTAGGCCAATCTTCCTACACCCAACCTTGGAGTTTCCCGAAACCTTATTTAATGTTCTACTCCGTCCAAAGGAGGCATCCCCAGAAAGAATTTTTCTGCTTTGTTGGTTAGATCCTGAAGGCTTCGAAGGTAATTTGTCCTTATTAGTTGTGCAATTCTGTTTTTGGTTATTCTGCCTGAGAACACCAGTTGCACTCTGTGTAGAAGATTTCCTCTGCATATTCTTTTGGGCATTTTTTTGGTTCTTGAATTGCTGGTTCGACTTAACATCAGTTTGCTCCTTCTGGTTCAGCAAACTCCTGTTGGTACTCGATCCCAAACCCTCTCTTCTCTGAACATTGACCTTTGCTTGGATAGCAAGTGAAATGGATTTTCCCTTATTCTTCAAACCAGAAGAATTACTTTCTTCTGAATCTGGAGAAGCCCTGAACTGTGGTGTATCTTCTGATCCATTCCAGCTCTTATTCAGAGACTGTCCCTTAAGATGCTTAACTGCATTGGACTCAAGAGGTCTTCGAGATGCTTCAGGAATCCTGGAGGGTCTTTGAGCAGCTTCCAGTTTCTCTTTAAAATCCCGAACTTTTAAGGGGATTGAAGAAGAACTTAGTGATGGCATTTTCCCCTTAATCATAGCCTGAGGCCCTGGCTCAATAATCTTTGCTGCTGCCTCCATTATATGAGCCGCATTCTTGGTTGGTACAAACCCAGGGCTCTTGATAGGAGATAATAGCTTATGGTGGGTAATTGGAATGGATTTAGCAGATTTTGGAGGCAGTATTTCAGTTTGAAACCTCTCAATTGGCCTGTTGGGTATCTTCTGAGGCCTTGGTTCTACACTGTTCCTAGAAAAATTCTCTATTTTATTATTGGACAGATTCCCAGAGTGCATAATTTGTCGCTCATTGTGAAACTCAAGAGTCCTCTTTTGGTATTGGGCATCTCGAAGAGACCGAGAGTCAAAAAATGGGGTAGAATATGGCTCTGCGACATTAGAAGTCGGCAATGAATCCAATCCCATAAGTCTGGCCACTACCCCAGGGGGCCTAGTGCCATATCCTTCCTCATCGGTGACAGACGAAGCACAACTGTAATCACTACTTCCTTTTATACTAGATCCTCCTCCAATCTCATCCTCCTCCGTCTGGAAAGATGACAAGAGAGGGATAATCATAAATGCGTTCACCATGACATATCAGCGTGACAAATAAGAAACGAAAACAGACACATATACGCACCAGCCGAAGTCGTGTCATCGGCAAATTCCCTTCACTTCTCTTTCCTTGTTTCAATCCCTCTATATGAAAAAGGCAGAAGAAAGAAGATTCTTAATGAATCCCAGATAAGTAGTACACATAAACAAAAAATGCCATACATATATAAATCGTGCTGACCTTTGAAAAGGAAAACAAACATACCTGGTTCATCACCATCAGACCTGTTGGAGAACAGCTTCTTCCTGGACTTTGCATTCCAGTCAAACAATTGAAGAAAGCCGCCAACATAGCCGGCTCCATTCTTTAAAGTATGTTTCTCAGTCCCCATTTCCTCGTGCATAGACCAAAACCACTTCAATGCCTGAGCTGGTCTCAAACTAGTTTACATTGTTCCACCAAAATCCGTCTGCCGTACAAACAAAGATAAAAGCTTTTCAATTTTTGAACCTTCGTGACGTACCTCTAAAAACATCAGCTAGAAATGTAAAGAAGAAAAGGTGGGGAAATGAAAAGGGAATATAAATGGCTGCAATCATCAAAATAAATGGTGGGTTCACCCTTCATAAGCTTACGATCCTAACACTAAAAGTATGCAGTTAATTGGTTAGAGAACGAAAACAAAATGACGGAGATGGAAAAGAAGAAGTTTACTCAACTCAATAGCTTCAAATAGGATGTAAATATAACGAAACATGGACCTAAATCTACTCACTCCACATCAGAAAAGATAATTGTATCCAAGAAACCACATGTCCAGGCTCCAGAGTAAAGAAAAAAGAGAGGTCGCAAAGCTAAAAGAGGAACTTACATCAACGATAGGAAAGATCTATAATGTCTAGGTCGATCCATGAAGAGCTCCCCTAAAAATTGTTCCAAAATTCAATGCAAAAATAGGGTTAGGGTTTTGAAAGAAAACAAAAAGGCATCAGAAGGGAAATAGCGAGGTTTCGGGTGAAGAAAAAGGGGAAGTAGCAGAGGTTGGGAGAGACAGAGGGAGTGAGGGAATTTGGTGAGAGAAATCAATGGGTCGGGTTCGTAGTCGAGCATTAAATGTAGACAGGAAGAGACAGTTCTCACGTCTATCTCATTCTCACCATTGGATTTTTAAAAATAAAACAATTAAAAATGGAAAAAATTTTACAGAAAAACAAAGGATAAAAGCTTATAACGTCTCTTTTTGGAGAGGGAGAGATTTCAAATTACAAAAGATGAAACGATGGACAGATCGGTAATCAACCGGAATTGGGAGATGGGTCTTAAAGTCAAAGGTCAGCATCTGCCGTACGTATACGCTCCTCGCTCCCTTTCGGGGGTGATAATAGACCACAATCCAAACTGTAGACCCCATTCAGAAACCACTATTTTAGAATCTTTTTATTTCAAAGTTTGATCTTATGGATCGAATTTACGTCATCGTTGGTACACATTGTGCAAGAGCCGTTAGATTAGAATATCTTCGAGAAGGTTTTTTTCTCTACGGCATTTGACAATGAAAAACCGGTAACCCAGTCCGTGAGAGGAACGTTTTGAATTTTGATTGATTGAGTGCGGCACTGGGCCCACCCAGGGAAAACAGCAAAACTGAACGGAATGCGTAGAATAGTAGAATGTCGTCCTACGCGCTGCATAGAAGTACGAGCTTCCTCCATGCTGCCGTGGAATTCGGATTTCGTCCTCACAGTCTCGCACCGTTCAATGTGAGGACGATTTCGTCCAACGCGCTGGGTGTCCCGCCTGGTCCATGGTTTTAAATCTTGTCCAACTTTTGGTTTTGGATTCGGAGTTTAAAATTAAACCATGGAATGTCAACCGGATGGACCAGACTGGTTTACCCGAGTTGAACATACCATGGTTTCCAGACGTTGGTTTCGGTGTGAACTACGATAATATGTAAAACTGAAAATTTGGCCCAGAGTCTTGCTGCAAGCCCAAATATTTTTTCACTCCTAAAAATTTGGCCCACATATTTTGATCAAAATTTTACAATATTTCAATTTATATGTTGGAATATTTTTACCGAAATCTTAAATTATTTTATTACATTTGGATTTGGTCCAAATGATTAATATTATCAAAACTCATGTTTTTAAATATGTACAATATAAATACAATACAAAGTTTTGTATTTTTATTCCTTCCAAACTGAACATAAGGGTCAGTTTGGAAGGAGTATAAATACAAATATGCAGTGTAAATACATACAAAATAATATAAAATACAAAATTTTGTACTCTATATACATACAAAATAATATAATACTTTACAGTCTGTATATTTGTATTTATACTCTTTTCAAACGGAGTCTAAAATTTAAAAAGCGCAAGCTCTTCCATGGTTTTATTATTTGGCTTGGGCTTTCAAAAAAGAAAAATCAGCTTGGTGTGGGAAGAGAGGATTAGAATTGTTAATTCCGGTTGTTTGGTTGAGTGAAATGGTGAAATGACATTTCCCTATTTAAGGAAATGACCATTATAAACTCCATTAAAAATGAAAAACTCATTCCAGTAAAACCACCCAAATCCTATTTCTCTTTATTCCATGTCAACTCTTGTTCGGAGTCATGTAATTTGATTTTCAGTTTGTTTCCATTTGAACCTTACAGGCAAAAGAGATATATTAGACATATCCAATTCTGGGGAATTTAAATCACAAACCAGAAGGACCCTTAGGCCGTGTTTAGGTAGAAGGAAAAACCATGTAAATCTTATACAGGTTTCCCTATCCTTTCCTATTCAAACCAAAACAGCTTTAAAAGTTGGGGTAAAGTTGCAGAAGTTGATATAAATCCTACAGTCTGTAGAGAACCTACCTTCTCCCAACTAAAAGGACCCTTGGTTTTTCATTGTACACATATATATATATATATATATATATATATAAGGAATCATTCTAGCCTCACAGGAAGCGGTGATGTGTGGAGCCCACATGGAAGCTGTGCGTTTTTGTTTTTTAAGATAATAAATAATATATGTTGATATAACCAAAGACCTAAGTAATTGGCATATTATTACTGATCAGTGTCTAGGCCTTGAAATGTCAAATTCATATCATATGGATAATTAATAACAATATTAATAGGGGAATTTAAGGTTGGGTGGGACCATCACCACGTAATAAGCCAATAATTGAGCAGCCCGTGGTAGCTGATACAACTCTCTTTTATTTCTTACAACCCATCAACCAACGGTTTTTATTAATTGGTTATTGATACAGTTGGAATTAATCAAGTCATGAGTTGCACCACTTTAGTCTTTAGGTGGGAAACGGTTGACGCATTAGAGCATCATAGCATGTTATGTGTTAGCAAAATAATAGCCCAAATGCAGGGTTGCGTTTGGATGAAGTGGCACTAATCATGTGACGAAGATGTCAAATATTCTATTTTATGAAGCTTATGAATCTACATATAATATAAAAGTTTAAATTTTGATGAATGAAAGCAATCAACATTCAACTCAACAATATTAATGTTTCTACTTTAAGAGTTGTGGCATTGTTGGGATAATTAAGTGGATGGATGAATAAGTGTGGGATGGGGCAATCAACGTTAGTGAGTAGCAGTGACAACTCTAAATGATGTACGATGCTCCCTTTCATTCAAGTGGAATCAGTGCTGGAATGAGGTGTCATAAGTCACAACATTAGGCATATGTGTCCCACACCTAATAATAATAAGAAGAAAGCTGGTGAAGAAGGAGATCCACACAATGGGAGGGATGCCAATCAACCATATAGATTATATGGTCATCAGAAATTAGGTTAAGATATCTATTGGAATCATTATTTGCTTCATGTATTTTTTATGTAAAGTTTGATATGACACTGAACAGAATGGAATAATAAAATAAGATTCATGCAGCAATCGTGGGACAGTATCGACTTAGATGATGATGATGATGAATCTTCATGTAAAGTTCCTCCTTTTTTGATAGTAAATTACAGATATTATCTTTTAATAGTAAATTAGATTATATATGTTTGTATTTATATCTATATCTATACTACTTTAAAAAAGTATGAATAATTAATCCACTAGATGAATTTTGCCACCTTATTGTTAACGCTTTCGACTTAAACATTAGGGCAAAATGGTTATTCTATTTGTTTCAAATGAGCAGAATCTTAGCTTGATGAAGTTTTCAATTCCTTATTAATACCTTTCGATTTTAACAGAATTTTGGTTTTGGATTGACAATTTTGGGTCCAGGTCAGTGTCCTGTCTAGGGTTAGTTTTGGTTTGGCTCTTAGTTTGACCCAATAATCTTCTCAGTTCTCACCACAAAGATCACATAGACATCCTCCTCTCATTTCTCAGACATGGTTATTTATTTTTAAATTAAATTTGGTTGGCTCTTAACTTGACCCGGTTCATCTAATTTGCATTTTAAGTGGAAAGAATAGATTTAATGGGGAAAGAAAATGTAATGAACATTAATTATTGGGGATAAAAAAAAGAGAGTTTTAAAAATGATCTTACTATTATTATTATTATTATTATTATTATTAGAGAAAGTAAATTATGTATTTTATTACAACTTCTTATATTTTTGTAATTTAATTTGAAAATAAATAACCACATGGGTGAACAATGAGAGAGGTAGAAGATGCATGTGAGCTCTATGGTGAGAAGATCCCTCACCTCCCCTCTTTTCTCTTTCTAATATAGATATAGATATCTTTTGATTTGAACTTGAGTGTAAAATGGGTATATATGTCTTAATAGAATTCGGAGTAGGTATTGTAGGATAAATGTAGCCCTCCATTGTTACCTTCTTGTTGAATTGTGTATGAGGGTAAAAATGAAATTCTATAATATATCTTAAATAAGAATACAACAAGGAATATATAACATGTTTGATTAAAAGTTTGTGAAGTTTGAAACTTAAATTTGTGTTATAACTAGAATTATATTGTATAGATTGCAACTTTGAGATGACTGTATTCATGATTCAAAGTTGTGCCTCTGTGTGTTTGCCTCTTTATGTTCCTAATTCGAAGTTATGGTTGGAACCTCCTCTTAATTTGCATAGAAGTTATGATTTGCTTGGGAACCATCGAGTGAGATGAATGGTAAATTTGCTTTGGACATGAATATAGGGAACTACTTCTTGTTTCTCACAAAAATAAAAGACCACTTCTTTTATTTAAGCCCAATAGGCAAAGTTTCAAGTTGATGCTTAGTAAATGAAATGCCAACCCAAAATGCATCCATATGTTCATACATCACCCTCCTTATTTCATGTGGCAAATTCATTCAATAGTGATTCTTCATGAGACAAATGGAGAATGTGTTGGCTCTGTTGTTTTAAAAACTATGTGCTCCTTTCCAAATTTTGGGTAGTGAAAAAGGAGAACACTCTTGTAAAATTATTGGCTTGATGTATTCCAATGTGACCTATTGTTTTTCAATTTCTTAAATAAGGGAGTCCCATTTATAAACAAGATGGTGCATTCAAATTGATTGATGCCAAAGGATAGAAATTCTATATTGGTGAAGTATGAACTACTAGTAAATATGCCAATGCATTTGCACATGGTAATTTTAGATAACATTAATAATTGAATATCCTTATTAGAACCATTTAAAAAGGATACGTAATAAAAGCGTGATGTGCTGGTGTATTTAGATTTTATATTTCATTTTCATTGTTAATAAAAATACTTCTTATTTATTATATTTGTTTTGTTTAATATTATAAATATATGATATTAGAGATGTCTACAAATTTTATCTGTTTTTTAGTTTTTTTTATATAACTATGACACTATTTGCTGGCTTTGACTTAAAAAACAATCTCATTTTTGGGCAACTTTAAATTTTTTATTCCATTTGCATAATTAATTTTAAAAACAATGGTTGTTTATCAGACTTATTTTTGTTTGATATGATAAGTTGATAATACCTTAGATATCTTTCTATTAATTTTATGTATTTTTTATTTTTTTTTTGTGTTTTTATCTATTTTTTAAGTTTTTTATTATTTAATTATGACAACATCATCAGTTAACTAACTTACCCAAACGATTGGACCATTATGGTGTAAGTCAAGTAGGTTGGGCTGAATTTAAACTTAACTCAAGCCCAACCTTATGCATTGGACCTAAGGCTTCAAGCCAAAGTCAAGCACAATCTGTTCAACTTGGGCCCAACC